CAAGAGCAAGCAGAGCAGGAACGGCTGGCCAGAGAGGCTCAAGAGCGAGCAGAACAGGAACAACTGGCTCGTGAGGCTCAAGTACAAGCAGAGCAGGAACGGCTGGTTAGAGAGGCTTAAGCAGAACAAGAACAGCTAGTCAGAGAGGCTCAAGTACAAGTAGAGCAGGAACAGCTGGCCAGAGAGGCTCAAGAATATGCGGAACAAGAATAGCTAGTCAGAGAGGCTCAAGCAGAACAAGAACAGCTAGCTAAAGAGATACAAGAGAGAGCAGAATAAGAATAACTAGTTAAAGAGATATAAGAATAAGTGAAGCAGGAATAGCTAACTAGAGAGGCTCAAGAGTAAGTAGAGCAGAAATAGCTGGCTTAAAAGACAGAAGAGAATATATCTGCAGAGTAAGTTAATTAATAGAGAGCAAAACAAGAGTAACCAGTCTATAAAGTAGAGAAGTGAATTAGACTAGAGCAGGTCCAGTATCAGGGAAAAGAGATCTCAGATTAACATGGACTAGGACCAAGTACCAGGGAACTAATTATCCAGCAAGTATAGGCTCCTGCAGTATAAGTTCCAGTAATAGATATCCAGTTAGCCTGTCTACCATTATCTTTACTTATTGCTCCGGGTAAGGACATGTCTGGGTCTAGCCTGATAGAGAGCCGCTTGGAGATTAGAAATCCAGAAATAACTCTCAGATTAGATAGGCTATATAATTTAAACAGGCTAAAACACTGTAGATAACAGAAGCAAGTAGTTATACTAATTGATATTAATAAGCTTCTAGAAGGCACCATGCCAGGCAATACTTATACTAACTATTCTATCTTATAATAGACTTCAGCTGCTGAACAGTAATCTAGTGAAAGGTCTGTAGATAGGCCAGCTAGTGCTACATTATCTAAACCAAGTGTTATATATACTATAACTGCTAATAGGAAACTGCTCTAATCTTATATTCCTGTAGGGACTGCCTGTGGTATAATACCTATACTAAAATTACTGGAGAATAAATCTAAATAAGTAAAGATTATTTTTAAGACTTATAGTAAGAGTAGTAAGTAGGATAAGATTATTTATAAGATAGTTATTAATATATCTGATCTATTACTAATTACCCGGATTGCTAAGAAAGATATATAAAATAAAAAGATAACCTTTTTAGATACTATATTCTGTACTGTTTTTCTGGATTAGTATTATAATACTGTAGTTATAGTTAGGATAAATACTATCTTGATAGTATTTAAAAACAAGATTACCGTGAATAAGATAGTATTAACTACAGTCTTAAAGAAGGATATAAAGTAAGAGAGAAGAGTTAAATAGTAATCTTAGAATATCTCTTAATATCTTTTAATAGCTAGTATAGCTTATCTAGTTTTATAAGAATATTCTATAGGTAATTAGTGTCTCTTTATAACTATAAGCTGCTGGCTGTTAGTCTGTATAGCCAGCGAGCCCGTTTAGCTGCTAGTTAGTGGATTATAAGCTGGCCTGGACTATAGTCTACTGACTATACTCTTCCTTGGATTTTAAAATAATATTTACAGTATAATAACTATTTTTAGTAGATTTAGATACTTAGCCTGCAGTTCTTAATTAATTACTGGCTATATAAGTTACTTGTCTAGTGCCTATATATTTTAGCCTCTGATTATGGTACATAGATTTTCTATAGATTATGACAGACTTCTATAATAAACAGAGCTCTCTATATTATTTAAAAGTAATACTTTTAATTGACTTAATTAGTCTATTATATTAGTTAAATATCTTTCCAGCTTAGATTTAGTTTAATTTAAGCTATATTCTGTTTTAAGTATTGCTCTAATTCTTTTGTTATAGCTTAAAAATATATATATTTTTATATATCACTGAAATTTACTTGAATAATATCTATAACATGAATATAGTTTATTGATATTCTTGTACTAGGTTTCCTTAAGTAGATCCTTGTACTATTATTTTATAGTATATTTCTATATAATCTAAAAGATTAATTTTCTGCTTAAGCAGCTTTATTCTGTAGACAGTATATTTAATTCTGTTAGCTGGCCAGGGAGAATTAACATGTTTTTATAAAAAGTATTTTATAAATGTACCAGTAGTTATATATTTCTTTATCTAGTTAATCAGCTTAAGATTAGCATTTCCTATATAGAGAAAGCAGATTTAGGATTACTATTTTGGGATTTTAATCTATACTGATTTTATTGCTTGATGTAGAGTAATATCAGTCTTATCTTCTATTCTTTTTTTTTGCTGTTTAACAGGAGGATAAGAATTATCAGTATCAGGAACCAGTTAGTAGTATAGCTTTATTTAAGGTATAGCCTATCTCTTTTCCACAGTACAGAAGACTGTCATAGTATTAATTGTATTGATACAGTGCTGAGACTTTGCTTTAAAAGTGGCACCCGGTACAGTCAGTATAGTGTTGACTACTATCAGATACTAGGAGGATATAAAGCTCTTGTGCTCTAGAGTATCTATTATCTTGGTATCTACTAGTTTTCTGTTACGCCCGGGTATTCGGTCAAGAGCTCCTAAGTGTTAGCTGCCTTGCGTTGAGCGATAACTAACCTAACACTGAGACCTAATGTCTCTTTGTGACTATGGACGGCGAGTGTTCCGAATGCGATCCTATCCAGGATCCCGCTAAATGACCTAATCCGAGGTCCAACAACTGTAATACGGTTCCGTACATAGCTCAAGTCCAAAAGACCAGGCCTATCAAGTATATATACTTAATAGTTAAGGAAGTGCGAACAAGTCAATTACTAACTTAATACTAAAGATATATCCTAAGTAATAATTGAAATTGATTACAGAGAACTAATCTAAGTATATGAAATAAGTATCCTTATATATTCCTGTTCCTCATATTGCTGCTATAATATATTATGTTGCTGGTATATTATATCATATCACTGACATGTTCTAATTATAGCGCTGCCATGTTATAGCTTATTGATGACATGTTTATAGTCACGTGATCCACTAATTATGTGTATATAACAGTTACTTATATAATTGAGTATTCCTTGATGCTTTTCCTTTCCTGGCACTAGTGTCTTTGTTGTGTCACTGGTTTCGCTGCCTGATTCCATGTCTGATAAGTGCACTAGACAAGGGTCTGTAATATCACTTCTCCTCTTCTGAGCTTTTATTCTTGAAAGTATATAAATTGTGGACTCCCTTTCCAAGATAAGTTGTTCAGTAATGTTTTCTTTTCTTTCACCTATGATTAATTATATTGTCTAACTCTTCTGTTCATAAGAAGAATCTTTATCAGTATATTGAGAATAAAGGTTTTCTTGCAGTTTTTTCTTATGAGTACTGTATCCATTTGTATAAAGTATACATTAAATCTGAAAGTTCTAATTATTATAGTAAGTATATCAAGATAAACAGTGTTTGTTGTAAAATATCTGATTCTTCATTTTCTGACACTGAGTGGAAGCGTTTGGTCAAGACTCAAAATTCTATTAAGGAAGAAAAAGAAGTTATATTAGTAAAACTGCTTTACTTACAGAAGCAAAAATAATTATTGTAAAAATAAGCTGGCAATTTTATTGCTTGTGATATAAAAGAGATTGAAGAGCTGGAAGAGCTTGAGAAACAAGAATAAAGAGAGTATGAGATATAAGAAAAGTTATGTGATTAAAAGGCTGCGGCATCCGATACTGAGGCTAGTACTGCTATAAATAATAGTGCTTAACTAGCCACTATATCTGAGATTGATCCTAGTCTGACTCAGATAATAAATGACTCCTTGTTCTGGGCGATGTTTAACCAATCTGTTGGTGGTACTGTTAAACCAGCTGGTAGCAGCCCGTCAAATTCTTGGTAGGCTTCCAAGTATTTTCTGAGATATTATATCCTTTCTATTTCATCAGGTACTGTATCTGTCCGCTAACTTTCCTGTGGCTCAGGATTTTTTTAACTTTATACTTCTGAGTATTATCTTTAATTTCTATATTTTCGGCGGGTTTAGCATTTGGTGGTGCAGGTTCCAATAACAAGATATGAAATACTGGGTATATACATAATATAGATTCCGGTAGTCTTAGTCAATAATTAATATTGCTGAGTTTTTCTTTAATAATAAATGGTCTAATTTTCTAATAGTCAAGTTTTGAACTTGGTTATTTTATCTTTATATTCCTGCAGAGTAGGAATACTTTCTCTCTCTTTTTAAAGATAGGTCTCTTTTCATATTATTTATTATAGTAAGCTACTGCTTGTTGATTTCTGAAATTAATATCCTTAGTTATTTATTTATAAAGTATTTTAATTGATTTTACTAGGCTGGCTACTTCTTCTGTAATAGATTCCTTTTCTCTGGATTCTCTAATTATGATAGGGTGATATCTATAATTTATATAGAATAGTGTTACTCCTGTTATTAAGTGTACTGTATTATTATATGTAAATTATACTATAGATAATAGATTTATCTAATTATTTTATTAGTAGTTAATATAGTGTTGTAGGTATTGTTCAACTGTCTGATTTATTCTCTCTGTTTATCCATTTCCTTGAGGGTGGTAGAC